ACACCTGTGGGGCCCCCTGGACCTTCTGGCGCTGGACTCCAGCATCTGGCGCCCGAATAGGGACCCTTAGGTAAGCCCCCCATTCCCCTAGACAAGCGCCCCGCACTCGGGACGGATAGGACTCCACCGTAGGAAGAGGGTGGATAGTCTTCACCGACTCCGTCTACACCTTTGGGGACCCCTGGACCTGCTGGGGTTGGACCCCAGCATATTATCACATAAGCATTGCTGCTATTTGGACAAACAGTGACAGCTGATTCGGGTCATTTGAATGTCCACTCTCTGTTTTAATTTGTATGTTCATTTTGACTCTGTCATATGCTCGAACTTCAGTGGAAGTCATGAGAACCTATTATTTTTGCCTGCTCCCTCCTTTACGTTGGAAATATTCTTTTTGGCTCAGAGGGACCTTAACTTTGATGTAAGGGACTATTTCTGTTGCCAACTTGTTTCTTCCTTGCCAAGTAAGAGAGTTGTTGTGAACTCTTCAGTGATGCCTTCCCAGGATATTTGCAGATGTGGTTGGGAAAGGTCATTTCATCCCCGACCTCTGCACGTCAGGTGCTGGGGTGCCGGGGTGCTGCCTCACCTGCGCCCCGGCTATCCGATGGCTATGTGGCTCTCTCTCCCTCCGATCACCATGGTGACGATGGGGCCACAGGCCAGGCTTTGTGATGGTGATCACCGGCTCGGGGATGGGCAAAGGCGCCACCTGTTCTCTGATCCAGGGCCGAGGGGCAGGGCAAAGACATCCCTCAGGGCCACCTTTGCCCTGCCACCTGGCTCTTGCCTGCTGCCTGGGTTTCTGATCACTGTTCTTCTGTCCTCCTTTCACCTCGCATCATTGTGCCTATGTATGCAAATTAACCGCCATCTTTGTTGGCAGTTAATTTGCATATCACCCTGATTAGCCAATGGGAAGCATAGCAAAGGTGCAGGCAATTACCCTTTTTGTCTTTTATTAGAATATATATACATACTTTCATGTACATATTTATACTTATACTAGGTGCCTGATGCATGAAATTCGTGCAAGAGTAGGCCTTCCTTCCCCGGGCTGCTGGCAACGGCTTCCCTCTGGCACCCAGCACCTGGGCTTCCCTCAGGCCGCTGGCAGGCACCTGGGACCCAGGCTTCTCTCGCAGCCCTGGCACATCCGGACAGTTGTCCGGAAGAACGTCCAGTCTAATTAGCATATTATGCTTTTATTATCATAGATAGAATTATATGAGCATGGATTAAAAATATGGAAAGTTGCAAGCCAGTTTGATAACATGGGATGTGGTGGGGAAAGAAGCTGTGGAGGAAGGAGGTTTGCAAGAGGAAAAAATAGTCTGCACTAATAACTCCAACAAAATAATCCCATTTACTCATTAATGCAAAGATTTATATATAGTATATATGTTCAAACAATTTCTAAACATAATGAAAATGCAAATCTGATCATATAAAAACAAATGAAGCATTCCAAATTAATGCACTTGACAAAGCTGTAGACTTTAGATTGAGGCCTATGAACCACTTATCCCACCAAACACTAGGAAGGACTTAAACTGTTGTCATCTGACAGCAGGTGCTTCCCAGAGGTAGATGGCATCCACGTAGACAGGCAAGCTTCTCAATGTGTGTATTTTGGATCTCGAAAGTATATGAATCTGACATCAACCATACCCACCCAAATCCTACTCATTAGGTTCTTTCCGGAAAAAATAATCTCAAACTCTGCTATCCGAATGAGCTGAAAGCTATCCCAACAGTCTCATCTCCAAACAGAAAAAAGGATTCATTTAGTTGCTATTAGTTGATAATTATAATAATGATGGCAGTTAGAGCCTTGGGTTCGATTCCCAGTTAAGGGCACATACCTGGGTTGCAGGTTCGATCCCCAGTTCCTGTCAGGGCACATTTAGGAGGCAAACAATCTCTCTCTCTCTCTCTCTGTCTCTCTCTCTCTCTCTCTCTCTCTTTCTCTCTCTCTTCCCCTCCTCCCCAATCCCTTCCACTTTCTCAAAAAGTTCCCTTGGGTGAGGACTAAGAAAAAAAAATTAAATAATGATGGTTTAACTTGGGTTTTCTTCTAATTCAGGGGTGGGGAAACTTTTTCCTGCCAAGGGCCATTTAGATATTTCTAACATCATTCGAGGGCCATACAAAATTATCAACTTAAAAATTAGCCTGCTATATTTGCTCAAACATTTAATTAACTCATCCCTAATCCTTGACAGGATCAGATCAGATGAATTAGAGGGCCTTATACGGATGTTCCCCACCCCATAATTGATAGGTCTGGCAAACCTATTGGGCAAAGGTTTATAATGGAAATTGATGTGTGTTTTGGACTAGACCTTCTATAGAATGAAAACCACTTGCCTCACAACAAAGTAGATTGAAGAAGCTGTTGAACCTGGTTGAAACCTGAAGTTTTGATAGTTACTAGTCTTGCTTTAGCTACTAGGCAGGGGAGGATGGGGGTGGAGTAAGGGATCAACCAAAGGACTTATATGCATGCATATTAGCATAATCAATGGACACAGACAGTAGGGGGGTGAGGGCATGTGCTGGGGGATGGGAGTGGCCTGGGAGAGGTCAATGGGGGAAAAGGGAGACATATATAATATTTTCAACAATAACGAATTTAAAATAAAAAATAAATATAAAAAATAAAAGATAAAAATAAAATTTGAAGCTTCCATTCTTAGTGCTGATTTTTAGGTGCCCCTCAAGGCTGCCCAACATTTTCAAAGTAGTGGGGAAGCCAGGAAAGAAGCTCATAGATTTCTGATTTCCATCACTCAGCCTGTACTGTTGGCCTCAACTGCCACAGCCAAGCCGGTCAAACAGAGAGAACATGTGAGTGAGTGTAGTGCCAGCTCTGCAGTGCATGGCTAAGTGACTTGAGGCAAGTCATTTGCACTCTCTGCAGCCTAGTGTTATCATGTGTGCTCTAACATATCATTTCAGAGAACCCTGTTGGTTTACTTAATAGCACTTATAAAATTTTGTAATTATATGCTTATGTGTATGATTATTTAATTGCTATCTCTTCCACTAAAACATAATCTCTATACGGTTAGGGACAATATACTATAATCCCAACACCTATCATAGTAGCTGACACACTCAAATTCAGTAACAATGTATTGATTTAATGGGTAAATAAATATATAAAATGAGGAAAATTATTTTAAAGTATCCCACTGACTCTCATAGTATGTGATTCTCTAAATGCCAGAGGCTTTGGTTTTTAAAACTAGGCCAAAATTCTGTCAGTCTGTTCAAACATCATCTAGTGGATTAAGTGCCTGAGTGAGCATGCCTCTGTCCTGTATAGTTACTCTGAACAAAACAAAAGCCCATTTCATCCATGGCTTTGCCTCTTAGCAGAACTACAATTAATGAAGATAGATGTTTGTGGTGTATTCTAAAACATTTTTAATTTCCTCTATTATTTTGTTCCCGGAGCTTGAAATCCTAGCGGTAATTAAAGAATTACTAGAAGGAGAGATTTCATTGAAGAAAGAGGACTTACAATTGTCTAGTCTAGTGATTCTCAGACTATATTTTAGCAGTAGAGCCCTGTTTTTTTTTTAAATATATTTTATTGATTTTTTACAGAGAGGAAGGGAGATAGTTAGAAACATCGATGAGAGAGAGACATTGATCAGCTGCCTCCTGCACATCTCCTACTGGGGATGTGCCCGCAACCAAGGTACATGCCCTTGACCGGAATCGAACCTGGGACCTTTCAGTCCGCAGGCCAATGCTCTATCCACTGAGCCAAACCGGTTTCGGCAGAGCCCTGTTTTATAAACAGAAATCTTATACAGAAACCCAGTACTTTTATATGTTAATTTATATATATATAGATAGATAGATAGATAGATAGATAGATAGATAGATATAGATATAGATATAGATATAGATATAGATATAGATTCTTGAAGGAAGGGAGGAAAGAAGGAAGGGAGATGAAGAGAGAGAATGGAGGGAGGAGAGGAAGGAAGGGAGGGAGGGAGGAAGGAAGGAAGGAAGGAAGGAAGGAAGGAAGGAAGGAAGGAAGG